ATTTTTTGTTCTGATGATGCCTTATACTTGATCCCTTAGATACCTCTCAACTCTGCTTTAAATCCTTACCATTGCCTAAACTAATGAAACTATGAACAGAATGACCGTATGCTCCAGGGAGATGATTGATAATATTCTCTAATATAAAAAGACAATAATATCTCTATGATGGACCAGAGGCTTATATAAATGGATAAATGGATTTGTGGCTCACAATTAATTCTATTACCAGTCTAGGAACAATTAGTTCTTACGAGGTAGCCTTGAGTGATACACTACCTCATGAAAAGATCATTGAAGATATGGGTGCTATAGCAAAGTGTGGTGAGGAAAATAGATGGTGCCCATCTATCAGAAAGAATAATGTCTGGGGACTTAAAGGCTTCTGTTTAAACAAGCAGCCATCTAAGTGATGCGTCAACTAAGCCCACATGGAAGCAGCACACCAGTATGTGTGACCCAAGGATTGTAAATAATATATAACCCAAATTCAAAGGAGGAAATGCTATCATAGCTTAAATTGTGAACCCCTGGATTGCAGCTGGCTTTGGATGAGAGTAGAACCACAAAATCCATTTGTAGGATCTACACATAGATTAAAACTCTGGCGATTTCCCTCTGACCATAGTAGATGAATGTGAATAGTCTGACCATCAGACTATTATTTTAGTATATATTTATATATAATAAATGTATATTGTGTATACTATATTCTAAATATATATTTAGTATATATTTTAGTACATTTTATTACAGTAGATTAAATGAAATATCTGATTTGAATAGCTAAAACTTAACATTGGTTTTGTTGTCACAAAGTGCAACAAAGACCCAGCATGAACTCTAGGGAACACAGAAAGGGGATGTACACTACAAAAAGTCATCCAAAATCAGAAGACCCATGGGAAAGTCAGCCAATGTTGGAAGTTCTGCCATTAGCAGAGATAAACTGGGCTTTTCATCCTAAGGCATCCTCAGATTAGCTGGGGATCTTTCAGTGTTCCACAATGAAGTAACACATAAAACAAACTCACTGCCACTGGATGGATTACGACTCAGCGATCTTATAGGGCAGGATTTCTGAGACTATAACTCCATAGGAATAGAAAGCTTCATCTTTCTCACTAATTCTGTTCGAAACTCTTTTCTGACGCTAGTCTGAATGCTGTTCCTCATCTGAATATTCTCTTGTGAGTGAGAAAGAACCAAGAGAGGAGAGGTTCAATAACATCTGGTGCCTTATGACTCAGATACCCTGAGTAGTTATGCTCTTAGACAGAGCACCACAAGTGCAGTCCCTTGGGAACTCATCTACACTCTGGTCTCTTCTTTTCTCTTATGCTTATTTTTCTTTCAAACTTCTAAGAGATTTACCAGAGAAACTTCATAAATAATGGCATGTTTGGGAACAAAAGGTATGCCTGCATGAGTGTCTGCGCTTGCCAGACTCTGATGAAAAAAGAGGAATTTCCTCTTATTGTCTCAGATACCTGGACATTGATGAGGGGTGGATCCCACAATATGAAGTCACTTCATAGGGAATAAACCTATGAGAAAACACAATAACTTAACTGACCAACTCTTCCAGGGTGTAAGTGGCACTAAATCAGGTTTGGTGGAAGGAGTTTTTGTGAATCATCCTGAATTTTTTAGATGCACAGGAGAGTGATCTCAGACATGTTACAGGACGATGGATGACCAGAGAACTAATCTTTCATGACAACCTCATCCACAATCAGCACACAGACTACATGCCACTAGTTCTGTCTCTGAAACATATTGGGGGAAAAAACTCAGTTTAGGCTATCAGTTGGCCACCCCTTATATCACCTTGTTACTCAATAATTTTGGCAGCAATATCTGCAGTTTTACCTGCCTTATAGGCTATGCATATGAAAAATGTGTTCCTCAGGTAGCAGTGGGGGAGGGATAATCAGGATCCCATCATTTATTTAAAATATTATCCCCAGAATATTGCAGAGGTTTATTTGTTAGGGTGTTTGTCTCTTTAAGCTTTGACAAGGAGCCCTGGTGGCTCAGGACGTTGTGCATTAGGTTGCAAACCACAAGATTTCCAGTGGTCTCAAACTTTAAAAGAAAAAGACTAATATTTTTTGTAACAAAGCTTGGCCTCAGCATAAGTTAGGCAGTGGGAAACTTTGGTCTGAAAATGGTAGTCTAAATTCTTACATCATCTTGTAATTAGACTTTTTTTGCAAAAGACAAGGACTATTCACAGAGGTCCCCTATGTTCAGGCATTTATTACCCTGTAGGATGCTCCCCAATTGTGAAAGGATTGTAAAATTTATCTTTACTTCTTGCAGATCTTGGCAAATAAACCAGAACCCAAGAATATAGAAGTTGGCTCTCACTTTACACACATGGAGTCCCAGAAGCCAAACAGCAACTTCGAGTGTAGAGTCGTTATCTCTTAATTCAGATAGTATAAGTTCCAGAAAGAACAAGATGGTGAGTCAGATGGGTCCTAAGTCACTGCCCAAGGGCAGGTACTCTTGGCTTCTTTCTTTGTGAGAATCCCCAGGGCCAGGTGGCAGAATTAGGCTCTAAGCCCCATTCACCATGCAGGACTTGATAAGAATTAAAGATAATTTAGAGGCCGCGCCGCGCCCCTCGTCCGAGCGGCCGCTCGCGTGCCTGCCCGGCCGGCCCGAGGCCCGGCGCCGCCGGAGACGCCGGGCGACCCCAGGCGAGCGGCCGGAATGGCGCGTCCGCGGCCCCGCGAGTACCAAGGCGGGCGACCTGGTCTTCGCCAAGATGAAGGGCTACCCGCACTGGCCGGCCCGGATTGATGAACTCCCAGAAGGAGCTGTGAAGCCTCCGGCAAACAAGTACCCTATCTTCTTTTTTGGCACCCATGAAACTGCATTTCTAGGTCCCAAAGACCTATTCCCATATAAGGAATACAAAGACAAGTTTGGAAAGTCAAATAAGCGGAAAGGATTTAATGAAGGATTGTGGGAAATTGAAAATAACCCTGGAGTAAAATTTACTGGCTATCAGGCAATTCAACAACAGAGTTCTTCAGAAACGGAGGGAGAGGGTGGAAATACTGCGGATGCCAGCAGTGAAGAAGAGGGCGGGAGAGTGGAAGAAGAGGGAAAAGGCAAGAGAAAGAATGAAAAAGCAGGCTCCAAACGGAAAAAATCATACACTTCGAAGAAGTCCTCCAAACAGCCCCGGAGATCTGCAGGAGATGAAGATGACAAGGATCGCAAAGGAGAAGAACACAAAAGCAGCTCTGACGGTGGAGATGCCGGCAACGACACAAGAAACACGACTTCAGACTTGCAGAAAACCAGTGAAGGGACCTAATTTCCAGAGCGCTGCATATTAAGAGAAACCCCAAGAAAGCTGTACGTTTGGTTGTCTAGTAACCTTGGAGTTGATATGAACCTACACGTAGTCTTTGTTGTGAACGACAGACCCTGGTTGTATGTGCATTATCCACATTCCTCTCTGTTGTGTTTCAGGGGACAAAAAAGACATTTTAGCCTTTTTTAAGGTTATTGTTTAATTTAATGTTATTTGGTTGCATGAAGTTGCCCTTTGCCACTGAGGATGATGAAGACTTTTACACAGACCGACCGTGTCTAGGATCCTTTTAAGGCAGTATGCTCATCATTCTCCTGCCTCTACCCCACCATCACCAAGCAGTTCAATGTCAGTGCGCATTTAAATTGTCACTCAATGTTTAGGGATGGGATTTCCGCTCTGGCAGAACCAACCTAGGACTTAATTCCTAGATACATAATGTTGGTATATTGACCACCAATTTTAAATGATCCTTCAGTTTTGAGGCCATGTATGTGTAAAGTTTAACCATATTGTAAAATATCTATTCTGTATTAGAAATAGCGAGTTGAGAGCTTATACTTCTCGAAGCTCATATTGCTCTGTACACAAACTCAGTCTCTCTCTGTGCAGTTGGTGAGTCCTTTTGTGTTTCTCCGAATAAAGGCAATGATTTATCCCCCCCCCAAAAAAAAAGATAATTTAGAGAGTTTTACGGAAGACCAAAGCACCTACGTTAAATAATGAAGAAAGTTACCTCTAACTTTTATTGATTGTGGAAAGACAACAATCTGATCCATCAAGAGGTTTTAATCATCTCAGAGAAGGGAGAGATGTTTAGGGAAAGACCTTGGTCAATGCCAATGAAGTGCATATCCAAAATGGAAACTACCCTATGGGGACAGGAGCAATACTGTATGCTGTGCCCCACTAGGATTATGATTCAACAGAAGAGAAGTAGTCAAGAAACCATATGCCCTTCTGTGTTTTACAAGGAATGGAAAACTTTCAATAGAAACTAATCATTTACAACAAACTGGAAAATGGCCAAGGGGTTCAGTAGATTTAACTACCTTCTTAGAAAAGTTACAAAAATCACTAGTTAAACATACTGAACTAGATCTTGTTAGTTTAAACATAAGTTTACAACTCAATCTGCTACAGACATCAGGAAGAAATTACCTAAAAAATCCACAAAATTAGGAATGAGTCCAGAAAACCTCATATAAGATATATGAAAATGTTACCAGCTATCCTACAAGGACAGAGGCCCAAGGCTTACTAAAGAGAATGCTCAGTGTTGCTTCCAGTGGGAACTATAACCAATGCAGAAAGCATGGGCACTAAAAAGGAAAATGTTTCTGATCAAGGAATCCCTGGAAGCTTTGTCCTCTATGCCAGAAATTCAGCCACGGGAAGAGGGGTTGCTCTAAGGGCCAGAAGAATCTCAAATTTGCAATTAAAATACAGTGAACCCTCGCCACTTCGCGCTTCGACTTCCGCGGCTTCACTCTATCATGGTTTTTGCGTAACAGCGCATGCTCTGTCATTACTG